GGCTTCATGGTGCTAGCGGTTTCCCTACTCTGTCGCCAGGCCCATTAAATGAAAACCGTTTGTTAGACCAGAGGTCCCAATCTTCTTTCACTTGCTATAAGAAAATGTGATGTCTCTTTGCTTACTGCTTCACCAAATAAGTATACCCTCCAGGTTTATGCTCGAGTTAGACCCTTGCTTAAGCTTTATCACTGTTCATAGTGGCTCCATCTGGGATGTGGCCACTATCTGAGAACACAACCAGCAGGTGGCATGTATCTCAAGGTCAGATGGAAACCGGCTTATGGATATTCTTAACAGTGGTACCCCTAAGGGTAATAAAAGGCCAGTGCAAGAAACTGCTGCAAAAATGTTCAATAAATATCTAGTAGAACAAACTGACTATATTTTATATTTTCTATATAAGTATACCTACGGTTTATATTTTATATGGTAACATATAAATAAATACTAATCATGATAACTTGCACTGAATGTGCAAAATAAAATGCATTCCTAAATCAGCTAAAAGAGGTAATACTAAAGACCAATCTTCAGAGCCAAGAAAATAACATCAGTAATTTCATATCAAAATTTGAATGCTGATGGCCGGACTTGGTGGCTCACGCCTGTAATTCCAGCACTTTGGGAGGCCAAGGCGGGCAGATCCCTGAGGTCAGGCATTCAAGATCAGCCTGGACAACATGATGAAACCCCGTCTCTACAAAAAATATTACAATTAGCTGAGTGTGGTGGCGGGAACCTGTAATCCCAACTACTCGGGAGGCTGAGGCAGGAGAATCACTTGAACCTGGGAGGAGGAGGTTGCAGTGAGCCAATATTACGCCACTGCACTCCAGCCTGGGCAACAGAGAGAGACTCCGTCCCAAAAGATAAAAAATAGAAAATAAAAGATTGAATGCTGAGGCATTCTGAGGTATTATTAAACCTTTTTCCTACGGCTCCGGCCTTGTCTCCAAAATTCTAGAGCCAGGCTTACAGGATGTACTATCAACATCTGAATCGGAGCTTGCCCAACAGAGATATCTTTTCAGGTTTTGCTTTTCTCATTCCATGGTTTATATCTGACCACAGCAACAGGTGTATGGAAAAGGAAACACGATCCCTAAGGGGAAAGGCCACTTCCTCCTTCTGTCTTACGCTTTGGCATGATGGGCCGTGTGACTACAGGCCTCCTGGCATGTGCACACGGGCGGCCCAGCCCAGCTGTCCTGAAACTTGGCTGCACGTAGCTATTTGGCAGGTGTTTGGCCCAGTGTTTTGCTAAGGCCCAGCCTGGACTAGCCATTAGCAGGAAAATCCAACAACAGTATTACCAAGCACACTGGGCAGTATCCTGGCACATGCTATGGGCTGGATAAACAGTGGATCACGGTGCCCTAGTGCCCTCCTCTATTTCGCAGGCTAGAGTGGGACATAAATGTCTAGTAGGCTCAAAACAAACATAACTTATAAAATGTTTATCTGTAAAAAGAACAACAGACAAAAATCTAACTTGAACTGGAAAGGTCTAGGAGGGCTTTTCTGAAAAACTAACACTGATCTTGAGCCCTGAAAGACAGAACCAATGAGGCATGGAATATGGGGAAGGGAATTCCAGGTAGGGGAAAACAGTATCTGCAAAGGACTGAGGTTGGGGGAGGATGAATCTTTTAACAAATAGAAAGATAGAAAGGAAGGTGACTGTGAGAGTGCTGTGAAGAATGGGAGGGTGGTGACAGAAAGGCTGGTGACAGATCACACTAGGAATTTGGATGCATAATCAAGCACAGTGTGATACAAACCACAGTAATATGGTCTAATTTCTTCTTTTTAATCACATTGGCTGCTGTGAAGAGAATGGATTGAAGGAAAGCAAGTGGAAGTGGACTAAATAAGAGATTTTCATAATAGAGAAGAGAATGCTGTTAGTGGACATGCAGAGATGTTGAAGTAATTGAGAAATAAGTTGGTAATCAACTGAATGTAGGGATGATAAGGAAAGACGTGTCAAGATCAATTTCCAGGTTTCTGTTGAATATACAGGTGAATAGAGATGCAATTTCCTGGTTGGAAAAACTGGAGGATTGAGGGTGGAGGGTGGAAGGCAAGGGAAAAGATAAGATCAAGAGTTCAGTTATGGGTGTGTTCAATTGGAAATACCCATGAAATATCCAAGTAGGGATGTCAGGTAGGCATAGGATATGAGTCAGAGTTCCAAAAAGGGGTTATGAACTAGAGAAATCCCTACAATAGTCACCAGCATATGCAAGTTATTTGAAGCCATAGCTATAGAAGGACATGAGGGTACAAGAGAACTGAGTTCAGATCAGAGATAAAGAGTGAGAAAGAGGTAAAGGGAAATGGATGGAAAACCAGAAGACTGTGGTATAGAGAGGCAAAGAAAAGGGAGACAGTGAAGAAGTGCCAAGAAAAAGAGCTGTCCCCTGCACTGAATGCCGCTCAGGAGTCTGATCATGAGGGGCCTGAAAAGCACCCAGCAGGCTGGGCAGCACTGAGGTCTTTAGTAGTCTTAACAGGAGAAAATCAGATGCAGGAGTAGAGGTCTAAGCCAACTGGAGTGGGAAGAATGTTCAATTGGAAAATGAAGAAAAGGAGACACAGTATAGCCAGAAAATTGTTTAATAAGTTTAGCTATGATTAAGAGGAAAGAGATAAGGTAGTAGCTTATTGTTAATGAATCAAGTAGTAATTTATTTTTAAAATAATAATATTGGCATGCTGACAGTAAAGAGGGAGAAACTGTCCCCAGGGGGTGAGGGTACAGAAAGACTCAAGACCTCAAGAAGGTGGGATGGGATGACACCCAGAGCACATCCAAAGGGACTGGTCTTTGATGGAAGGAGGGAGCCCCCGTTCATTGTGAGAAGATGGGATGCTTCTGATTTCTCTGTGGAGCAGGTGGTAAGATGATCTCTGAGCCAGAGGGACGAAAGCGGGCCAGGGGTATGAACAGAGTGTGTGAAATAGCTGTGTCATTAAATAGTGGAATACATTTATTTGAGAAACATAATAATGTTTTTGCCAAGCTGTGTTGAGTCTCTATTTGAGTTTAGTTGTCAAGAATATGTAGTAACATCATTTAGACCAGTCTTTGTTTCCACTTCCCACATCCTCTTTTGGAGTTCCTCACCCTAAGCCAGTTTCTGCCATTTTTCACATGATGTAATGACAGACAATAATCCTACCTTCTAAGACCAACTAATTCCCTCACAGCTGTATGAGCTGGTCCTATGCATCAAGCCCCTGTAGTCCACTCTCTGGTGCACAGCCTCTGTCAAGTCATCAAAACAATATTAGGAAGGATGGAGGCAGCTTCCTTGCTTGTTTCTTCCCATGTTCGTAGAATTCCACCTGAGAATTCCCCCTTGAGAATATAACATAACTTTCCCTGGGAAGTGAGATTTAACATTGGCTCAATTTGCTTCACTTTGTGTAGAATCTGATACTAATGAGAAATACACAAATAGAATCTGTAGGCCATGCCATATGTGAGACACACAAAATAAATAACTACATGGATTAGGATGGTAGGAGGGTTCACAGGGAACATGATACCCAATTCCTATGTTGCATGAGTTTTCCAATATGACATAAATAGCAATAAAACTACTCTACTATTAATTTAATTAGTATTTACTTGACAGCAAAACATTAACACAAGACATCTGACATCTCCGATGAAGGCTTCTTGCAGAATCTTTGAAAAGCATAGCCATTAACTGAATCCTTCAGTACTGTAGACTTAAGACGGTCAAATCTTTGACTTCATTTTGGCCTTTTAAGAAAAATACACCCACTACCCGAATACTACTTAAAAGTCTAGGGACAGAAAGAACATCCATAAAATTTAATATGAAAAGCCTGTGCAGTTTAATTCTGACATGCTGACAACCAAGAATTAATGTGTAGTATTTAATTTGACTTTTATTTCTGACCATCGCTTTGAGCTCATTCTCTGGCATCAAGATCAAATGCCATTATTTATAGGTCTTAAACAAATAAGAGCCTAAAAAGGAAGTCACGTTCAGCAGAAATACTTTCTACACATTACCACCAGAACTTACTCAAACTAAAAAATTTTTCTTTTTCTCAGTTTAGTGGAGAACATGTTGAGTCAGGAAGAATGTGTTAAAGCTTATTTGCTTTTTCCTTCTCAAATTGGAATTTTATTTTTAGTTTTATTAGAATTTTATTTTTAGTTCAGCTCTAACTCACTCAGAATGGGAGAGGAAAGTAATGTGTATTTCCCAGAGGAAAAAAACACATAAACAGACAAACCAAAAACCCAACTACCATCCTGAATTCTAAAATCTGCAAGTGATTTTTCATACTTTCCCTAATAGATATCAGCCACCATTCAGGTTGTGATCCAAAATGTATACACAGGACCTCTTCCAAGATAAGTGCCAACTGTGCTTCACAGATAGCTTTCTCTGGCAGTGTGTGAGACTACCCCCAGAAGAAAATTTTAGAAATTCCAATACATTTGTCAACAAGCAGTGCACTTGCATTGAAAACAATAGCAAGGCAAAGCGGGTGAGATGGATGGTTCTCATTCATCTGTTTAATAAACAGAAAAATGAAAAGAAATGAGGCAACCCTATTTGAATTTGCTTGAGCCATCCCTACAGGGCAGCAGTGGTAAAGAACTTCAGTATACTAAAAAAATTACTTAAAAAACACAATGGAATCAGAAAAGCAGAAAGGCCAACGAAAAAAGCAAACAAACAACTCACTCATCTCAAGTAGGATAAAGCTGCCAGGAATGTCGGCTCACAAATTATATGAGCTCTGCTTTCTCAGCATCAGCTGCCCAGTACCTGGCAGTTCTTAGTTTCTGACAATGTAAGATCTTAGGATTTTTCTCTAGTGCCACTGTCTCCAGGAACATGACACACAAATCCAAAACCACAGTAACTCATTCAACATTTAAATTCAATCAATTGGGACCACCACCTTGCCCATAAAAATTGCATCAGAATATAGTTTTCTTTTACCTTGGTCTTTTCACCAACAATGTTCTTTTCCAGTTCAGCTATTTTCCGGTTTAGATGATCCAAAATCTCCTTCTCCTTCATAAGTTCAGTTGTTTCAGATTTCTGTTCTCCATCCAAAAGAGCACATTCCATATCCAACTAAGGACACAAACCAAAGCTCAGAAGTGTTTCACCTTTGGGGATATTCTCAACTGACCACCCTAGAGATACATTTGCAACAGCTACAAATTTGTAAAAGTAATACTGTAGCAGCCAGATCAGGTGCCTGGGAACACTCCAGAGAGCCCATGTGAAATCAGGATTCCCATATAAGAAAGCTAGAGAGCCTAGAATATATTCACTAAAAGAACTAGTTATCTTATCACTTAACTTTTCTACTATAATCCCTCTTCAGCTCACTTCTCAAGGATATTTTGCCTATTTGCTTCGGCTCAAGATCAAGCACAAACCACCATGGGAGCAGCCACGTCTTTTTTTCTTTGTCCCTAGAGCATGGGAAGAGAAAGTTACCCGAGCCCAGCATGTGAGCTCTGCATTCCTCGCAATGCCAGCAGGAGGGGCTTCCAGCCTCTCCACGCAAGAAAACAGGTGAGCAGTCCCCTAACCACTTAAGGGCCTATTGGTATCATCTGTAAGGACAGACACACAGATCTTCCCTAGGCAGAATTACGTGCCCCTTCTCATGCCATGGGGGTAACACAAAAATTGCCACTGTCTTCTATTATGGTTATGCAATGTGTGTCTGCTGCTCCCCGCTGGTTTCCAAACCTCTAGAAACCTGGATCTATTTTTGATCCGTGTGTGAATTTCATCATGGTGCCAATGTGATATCCAACTCACAGTAAAGCATGTTCAGAAAACATTTGCTGCATTTGACCTTGAAATGTAAATACAGGGCACCTCAGCTGACAGATCCTCTGTTAGGTCAGAAAGCACATACTAGTTAAGACAAAGTTGGTTGAAGATTCATAAAGTACATTAAAGAGGGCTTAATATGTTTATCTCATCTGGTCGGAAAAAAAAAAAAAACAGAAAAAAAGGAATGTAGAAAAAGGGTATTCTTACTCTAAACAGGGAACCCACTGAATAAATGGGTTTGCTTATGTTGATGTCTATGTATCTGGACTCCAAAGCCTGTGCATGAATGAGCAGCAATATTTTTAGGCTAAAGGAAAGCAAGAAAAAAGGGAAGAGGGTAAAAAAGTTTACCTCTCTGTAAGATTCATCCATCTGATCATTTATGTCTTTGATTTTTTGTTTAAGTTCCTCGAGGTTGTTCAGAATGACCATCCGGGTTTCTTCCATCGCAGCCAACTCCTGAGATCTCTGTTCTTCACTTATACCCTCTGGGGTCTGCGATTAATCAATACAGAAATGGATTATTCACACTTCAGTTCTAGAATTTCCTAACTTGACTTGTAAACCATCCACAGGTCTAGTGTTTCACAGTCTCCATGCCTGTGTAGATTTTAAAAGCATCCCTGAAATTGCACGCTTGGAGCTCTGATGTGTTTTTCCCACATTATGCCATCCTCAGCAGTTAGGCTCTCAGGGGAGTTCAGACAAACCAATTTCAATTCATCAGTGCATATCCTTTTGAAGCTAAAAGAACTAAGAGATTACACAGATAAGAAAGGTGTGGTCCATAGAGATTGAGATGACTTTTCCAAAGTTATAGAGAAAGTTCAGCGTAACAGAGAACTAGAACTGACAGAAGACTTGTGGCATCTTCCTCTGGGATCCCTTGGGCATGATGCTGTGGTCATTACAAGCACAATATTCTCTCCCATCTTCCAGGGGAGGACATCTCCTACAAAAGCCTCTTGAATCTCTAGACATACTGTTCGGTCTCGCTGCTAGGGTTATCTGCAAATGAGCATTCAGGCTTCTGTATTTCCTTCTCAACACAAGTTAGAAAAGCAAGGGCACATTACTTTGGGGAGCCATAAAATGACTTAAAACTACACACTCAGTATTAAATTAATTGATGCTTCGTTTTTGTGTTAGTGCACAATTTCCTCTCTTTGTCCTATAGACCTTCTTGCTATATAGCATGTGAGACAATCCCTAAAACAGGACACTGGCCACCATTCGTAAAATAATTTCATGGAAAAACTGGTTCATCGGCAAGAAATAAGAAAGTCAAGAAACAAATTAAGTGAGAGAGTGCATAGTTACACTCCTGAATGGAGCGATGACAGATGCCCAGGGAAGAGGGCAATATTGTAGATCACACACACAGTCAAAATGTGACTGTTTATTGTTCAAGAAGAGAATGGAGTGAATTACAAATAGCCTCTTCTTTCTAGAATTTCAGGTTAGTTATCTTGGATATCACCTGGTAGAGACCAATCTTTCTATATATACTATATGTTAGTATGTTAGTATGAAAATACTATTTATTTAAATTATCCCTTTTTGAAAAAGTAGTTTTTTTGGATCAGCAAGTCAATAATTATACAGTTTCACAATGAAAATTGAAAAAAGCAGCCCAGTTGAGTAAATTACTGAATATTTGTCACTAATTGTTAAAAAAAAAAACTTCGAATTAACCCTCCAAGAAAACCCATTAAGTTTAGTATACTTCACTAGGTTCACTTAATTTATTTGACAATTCTGATAATACATTTAAGAAGCCATCCATCATGTCATATTCTGTACTCTATTCATATTTATATTCTTTACTCTACTTTGTAGCTTTTTAAAGTGATTCAACGATTCAGCATTTAGTACCTCAGGTTTGTTAGGATGAAGGTAAGCAGCTCTTCCAAGCTTTGACATTTAGCCCTTTAATTGTCATCTTACATGCAATATATCTTATCAACTAATAAAACAACTGTTGACCTTTTTATCACAGACAATAAAGCTCATTGTCCTAATACTAAGGTGCCTGTTTTAAGCCGTGAGGAACGCCTGCAACAGTGAAATGGCATTCCAGAATCACTGTGAGTAATCCTGGCAGGAAAGCCTCACCAAGGGCAGTATCCTGTTGGGTCAAGATTACATATTAGGTTTCTACTTCCAACATGGCTTAAAGATACCTCTCTCACAGATGGACGCAAGGCATTAAGAAAAACACACAACAACAGAACAATCTGCAAAACTCTAAACTTTATAAGCATGTAGGGGGTAAAGATGGTTAATAGTGGGAATCACCTGCATAATTCAAAGTTTTTAGAAAGTTTATCACAATAGATATGTTTAATAATAGGCAACTTAAGAGTCTGTTTAGAGCAATAAATGCCATCTAGGAAACGTTTGTGTTTTTTTTTTCTAAGTTATTTATAAGAAGCAAAATCTCCAGGAAGTATTCTAAAACCAAACGCTTTATGATAGAATGGGGGTGAGGACAATGTAATCTCATTTATTCACCAAAGAAAACCAATAGAAAGCCAAGGTGTGGTAGCCACTGAGTAGCTTTCAGTTTTACAGTGACAGAGAACATTGTAATTTTAAACATATGCCCTTCATTTTAATTTCTCTGGGAATTTTTTTTTTCCAGTAATGGACAGGAATCTAACAGTGAAGTGTTTTAATAAGGACATTACACGTGTATGTGCATCCTCTAATATGTTATCTTTGGGGAAACTTGATCCACACGGGAAAGAGGAGAGATGTTAGGGGAAACGACACTTTCTGCTTGCCCCTTTTTCACAGATTTCTTCTTAAAACCCTTTTGCAGCCAAAGGAGAGAGGGGTGCAAAGGACTCAAAAGCAGAAAGATGAGCCACTTTCCAGACAACTTTTACCTCAAGAGGTGGTTCACAGAGGCCAACTAAAATTAGCATATTTCCAAAGTCATCTGCATCTGTGTTACATAAAGCAAGTTCTTGATCGGTAACTCTCAGGTTTCCTATATATCATTAAGATTGTTTTGTATAGTTAAGTCAACTTACAGTGTTTTTCACACTCCTCTCTTCTCCATTTATCCCTAAATCGATTATTAACATTGTACTTTGTTAGGCAAATACTCCAGTGTGGAAATTAATTGAAGAGAAAGAGCATGCGAAACAAATAGGAGGTTTTTTTTTTTGTTTTTTTTTTAAAAAGAATTTCCTATCTGCTGTCTCAAGTTAATATCTAACTTCAGAAAGTAATAAGTAAAAAAAGTGTTTCTTGGAACCCATCAGCCTCCCTCACTTGTACTCTTTCTACGCTGCTGTGTGGTAACCTGGGTGTCCTTGGTGTTTCCTGCCTCTAAAGGATGCAGAGTCTTACCTCTCTTGCAACAACAGATGCTGCACTAAGCTTCAGAGGCCTCCTATTCCACAATTACATGCTTGAGCAATTAAAAACATCTGCCAAGATCTGCTCACGTACACACCAACAGCATTCTTGTCATAGCCCTCTCCAGGAGGAAACCTGTCTTCCAAAAGATAGTCTTTAGAGACAGCACGCAGCTTAATGTTCTTAAGAAAAAACTCGCAGATCTCCATAAAGGAAAAGCTGTGAAAAGATTTAAAATCAAAAGGAAGCCAAGGGTTTCTAAAGAAGCCCAATGGCTGATGAGGACAGCTCAACTTTTCAAGTGATGGGTCATTTACTGTGCCTGAACAGCAACAACTTTTGATTCCTCCCTGCCCCAATTTTCTTCCCTATCCTGGTTTCTAACCAGGAATGTTCAGAATTACTCTCCATTGAGAATTAGTAAGGTAAACACGGTCACTAGCAAAAAGAAGGGATGGGGAGGGCTCAGTGGCTCACCCTTGTCATCCCAGCACTTTGGGAGGCCGAGGCAGGTGGATCACTTGAGGTCAGGAGTTCGAGACAGGCCTAGCCAACATGGTGAAACCTCGTCTCTACTAAAAATACAAAAATTAGCCAGGCATGGTGACGTGCGCCTGTAGTCCCAGCTACTCGGGAGGCTGAGGCAGGAGAATCGCTTGAACTGGGAGGCAGAGCTTGCAGTGAGCCTCGATCGCACCATTGCACTCCAGCCTGGGTGACAGAGCGAGACTCTGTCTCAAAAAAAAAAAAGAAAGAAAAAAGAAGGGATTATTCTCCAACATGTGTTCAACAGTCCAAAGTCCTGATGTGTATAATGGAAAAACTCACTACATAGATAAGGATTTCTGACTAGGAACATTCAGTGTAAAAGTCTTGCTGTAGCTAAACAAACACACAAACTCCCCTGAACAATGTCCATGTGATAAATTACTGCCAGGATTTAGTACCATGACAGTATCTTTCTCTTCAACAGTCAATGTGTCCTTCTCTTACAACAAAAGATTAACTAAAGAATCTCACAGTTGAACTTAATAGTAACTGTGAATTAAGCAAATCAATACATTAATCCTACTTATTCCTAAATAAGAAAATCCACCTAGTGAATACGGTATCTGCTTTTTCCTCCTATTTACTATTTTTGTTATTCTAATTTTAGTCTAATAAAATGTACATCTTTCATTGTAAGCTCCTTCAAATCATTATTAAAAGTGGAGAAATTTAAAACCTAAATTGTTGTAGAAAAAAATTCTTAACCTGTGTGAAAAAAACGTAATAACAGAAGATTTTGGGGTTCTCAGTCCTGTAGAAAAAGAAAAAGAAAAAGAAAAAAACATTTAAAAAGATTTTAAACTCCATTTAATAAATCCTCAAAGGACAACTTTTTTTTTCTTTTTTGAGACAGAGTCTCGCTCTGTCGCCCAGGCTGGAGTGCAGTGGCGCAATCTTAGCTCACTGCAAGCTCCGCCTCCCGGGTTCTCGCCATTTTCCTGCCTCAGCCGCCGGAGTAGCTGGGACTACAGGCTCCCGCGACCATGCCCGGGGAATTTTTTGTATTTTTAGTGGAGACGGGGTTTCACCGTGTTAGCCAGGATGGTCTTGATCTCCTGACCTCATAATCCGCTCGCCTTGGCCTCCCAAAGTGCTGGGATTATAGGCATAAGCCACGGCGTCCGGCCAATGACAACATTTTTAAACCAACATACACAACCAGAAGACTAGTACTTATGTGTACAAATAAATCTTTTATGTCCAAAAAATATAAATAAAGTCAAAATAAAGACTACTTATGATAAAAGGCTAATCTGCTTACCACAAACAGCTCTTACTACTCAGTAAAATACAAGACAAATAAAACAATTTAAAAAATGGGTGAAGAACATGAATAAGTGGGTCAAATTACAAATAATAACTAAAAATATGAAAAGATCCCCAACTTGATGCATAATTAAAGAAAAGCAAATTAAACTTCTATCAATTTGGCTAATTGAAAAATTTTGACAATATGCAACCTTGGCAAGTGTATGGAGAACAAGGTGTGCATATAAACTTAGTCAAAGTGTCACCTGGATATATAGGCTCTTTTTTTAATATGGTCTTTTGGAAGTACAGTTGGGAAATATTGAGTAAAATGGAAAATACACAAACTCTTTGACCCAGCAATTCCACTTTTAGTAAGTGATCCCACAGACACATTTGCAGAATTGTGCAAATATATATATGCGACAATATTTGCTGCATATGGATTTTATTAGCAAAAAAACCTGAAAATAAATGGTAGTTGCAAACAAAAGAAAAGCAATTGGTCATTAAAAAGAATGAGGTAGAGCTGTGTATACTAATATGGAAAGATGCCCAAGGCATTTAGTGAGGGAAGAAAAGTACAGAACACTATGTATGTGTGTCTGTCTGTCTATGCCTATAACAGCCATATATACACAAAAAATATTAGGAAGGCAGGTAAGATGATTTTAGCACCAGTTTTACACCTGCTTATTATTCAGGTGCGCAACTGAAAGGGTGCAGGGACAAGAGAAATGTTCTTTCTTTCTACTTTCTGTGCTGCTACATTTTTTTACAGTGCAAATGTGTTACTTTACAGTAAACACCCTAATTTGCTGCACCTTGCTCAGCTAATGACCTCTTAAATTGAAACTTTCCTGAAAACATCCTGGATAATCAGCCTGATAAAATCACCAGTTTCCATGTCAAAGCATATGTACAGCCCTAGGCCTTAAATCTTAATGTCTTTGCTGGGCCAACATTACCTTTGGTAGGATACTTAGATAAGAGGATTCGCTGGAAGCTTTCGGAAAGGTGGAGGATGGTGGTGGCGGAGTCCGGGTGAGGTCGCTGAGTAGTTCATCATTCCTGGTGCTCCTGGGGGTAAAGAAGCTGGCACTGCTCTGAGTGAGACTCCCACAGCTTGCCAAGTCTGCATCAGGGAGGGAGTCTTTCCGGTGGCACCTGTATCTTGTGTCAGGGCTCAGGAGGGCTTCTTCAAATACAGACTCCTCATCAGAGAGCTGCAGCTTCTCAAGCTCCTTGTTGATTTTCTGCACATCTGCCACAGTGGTCCCAGTAGATAAGCGACTGTCAGGCTTTGTGTATTCAGCACAGAGACTGAGGATGGTCTCCAGACGCTGTCTCTCCTAGAACACAGAGAGGAGGGGGAGGTCAGGGGGTTTGTGAGAATGAACACAACTCCAAATAAAAAGACTGAAGAGGCTGGGACAACTGGTGCTGGCATTCCTTACATAAACCCACAAACACTTGGCTGGTGATGATTTTCATAATCTTTGACTGATGCATTTAAAGATCCAGGTGAAATGGGGTTTAACAATGCCCAACTTTCCTGCCAAACTCAATTCTGGCTTCTACTCTCTCCCCTTTATTGGTATATTACAGGCTGGCCCTAGCACACATCAGCACTCAGTAAGCGTTTTCATGACTTATCAATTCCCCCAGGTTTCTGAAGGGTGAGGTTAGGGAGAAAGACAAGGTCTTACCCTGTCCCAAAGGCTGGAGTTCAGTGGCACAATCATAGCTCACTTTAACTCCTGGACTCAAGTGATCCTCCTGCCTCAGCCTCCCAAAAGTCACTGAGATTACAGGCACGTGCCATTGCACCAAACTCATTTTTTTTTTTAAATCTCCATTTCCTGTCTATCCTCCTTCCCACCCTCTACTTATCTACCTTCAACAATATCTAGCTTTTTCATCACTACTGACTTAATATTTGTGCTTAAAATTAATTCTCTAACTTCCTAAATATTATCCTACTGTTAGACTGTGTGCTAGACCCACAAAGACAAAAACAGCTACTTACTGAATCTTTTAATTTAAAAGACTTATCTATGTCTTCAATTTTTTTTCTTGAAAATTTTGAAAATTTTCAAAACTTTTTAATGCCTGGTCACCATATAATGGTCTTTCTCTACTAATTTCTTATATAATTAAAATTGTAAAAAAGATAGAATGTTGCACTAAAATGAAGAACATTTCACATTAAGTCCAGATAGACCCGGATGTAACTCAAATTCAGAGGTCATTAAATCTTTGATTAATTTAGCTAGAAAATAAAATTTGTTTTTTAAAAATAAATACATAGGCCATTGATGTCTATAACATTACTACAATCTTACCAGACTCCCCATGCAACAGATAGATATTTATGATTTTGAACTTTAAGTTAATTATATAGTTTGTGAGCAACAGGATATAATTTACGAAATGCTTCTCTGCTTCTCATAAACCTAGACAGCATTGCTTAAGGTAGGAAATCTCAACATCTTTACCTTTCACGTTAATTCCAAGGCCAAAGTGAAAAAAGAACTAAAAACAAAAACCATCTGTTGTGATCACATTTACCACACTGAGAAGAAGCTTCACACGTTCTCCATAGAAAAACATTTTCCAAACTGCTTATCAGCAATAAAGCAGAAAAATATTAAGCATCACTGGACTGCTGTTCTCATTTCAATTGCAGCTAATTTGTAAAGACAAACTTTATAAGACAATTAGCTCTTTATTAGTTGATGCTATTAACAAGTAGAAAAGTCAAATAGAACAGACCAACATAACTCCTTAGGTTCCATTAAATACATTACTTAAATGACAAGACAGATATTTAAGGTGTATCTGACTTACATTTGCCCTTTAAAGTAATCCCCCAACAAAAAAAATAAAAGAGCAATAGCTTCATCAAAAGGACTAATAAACTAGTTCCTACAAGCTCGCACCTCCCTTTCACTGCCTGAATTTCTGGACTCCAGCTGCAGCTCCATCCTCATGGCCTCTTCCCACGGCAGGCACTCATAGCTACACACTCTCATCTTGGGCTCTTCTGCACCCTGTCCATCCAGGAGCCCTGGTACTTATTTATCTCTGCAGTTTCCACCAGCTGCCAAGCCCTGCCCACCTCAGCTTTATAGGGAGGAAGCGGGGGTGGGGTGGGGGGAACATAGCCTTCATTGCCTTATTTTAAACTTCTCCAACAATCTGGAAAAGTCTACAGGGGCATATGCAAAAACAACCTCCAAGAGCATACGTAAGGAGAGGGAGAGGGACAAGATGCTGCATTTTACTTCTCAATAGCGTCTATATTAGAGGCGAGTCTCTAAAGAAAAGTTCTTTTTCTGCCACTTGGGTAATTAAGTTGAAGCATCTAAACTCAGTCTTTCCTAATCTTTTCAGTATAACATGTATATATTAGCCTTGGCATAAACATTTGAGATTATCTGAAAGTTGTCCATTTCCAATTACCTGGGCACTAAGGTGTGGTGTTCAAAAGCATGAAAGATATTTCTGTCTGGCCTGGAATACCTAGAAAAATTCATTCCTCCCACATGGCCTTCCCAAAATAGTTTCTTTTTCTGCCAGTGGTATTGCTTAATTCCAAAGGGAATAAATGATCCCAGCCTTAAGATGAATGCTATTTCAGACAGTGAAACGCAGTATTCAAAGGCTTGTGCACAGGAAGTTTGGTCTACTGGTATGTGTTTCTCTCTATTCTTATCACCCCATTCACAGCCAATCTGTCCAAGTTTGAATTACTGACACAGGCAGCATTGCTGCCCACGAGTTTAAAAGAAATCCAGGTTGCGCTGAGACACATTGGCCCTATACAAGCTGCACCAAAGAAAAATAAACTGATGTCCAAAGTGCGTCAGAAGAAAGTCTGTAAGGCATTACAAGAAGCCTTTAAAGGAAAACTCTGAACAGAAATTACTCTCATAAGATAATTCTCCCTTCAGCCTTCTGCACTCTGGAGTCTTCTTCCTTCCATCATGCCAATAGCCTCCAACCTGCATGACCCAAATCCAGAACGACCATTCCAGACCAGAACCTTTTAAGAATCAGAGAGCACTGTTAATAATTATGCTGGAACCTCAAATGCAAACTGGGATTGGTCCTGGCAAACTGTGATGTCCGTCTCCCCACTTAAAACCAAATTTTCTTTGAAGCTTCACCTAACAACCTGCTATTTAGTAAATCGAGAGGCTGGCTGCCCTCTGAGATTTCCAAATCCTACCCACCTTTCCAAACCAGCAATCTACTGTTCATTCTCTTGAAAAGTCACAAGTACAGAGTCTACATACCTTAATGGTCCAAAATATCAGTGCTAAGAATTTAGAAAATAGGTCATCTTGAATCAAATTATTTTACATACATTTTTATTTTTTTCGCCCTTCCCATTTCTCCTTTTCTTCATCTCTATCTCCCATATATATCAAAGGAAGTGTTGAAGGAGACACAAGATTTTAGACAGTATACCTGAAGAAAACTGTGTGCAGTTTTTCACTTAGAGGTTAAAGGGGAAAAAAAAGGATGGGCTAGGGGTAAGTTTTTTGACCTCTGAGCTTTTTTCTATCTTTAGAGGAATGTGTGTGACATTGTTCCCACTGCAGATTCACAGCCCTCAGGAGAGGGTACCATCCATCTCTCATACCCATCCCGGGCCCTTGTAACTAACACCAACCAGTCTAGGTCACAGGATGGTACACATACTGCACAAATACATACATTATGCAGAAAACCAACCACTGACACTTAAGCACAGGTGAAATCTTTGCTAAAAACCTTCTGTTATAACTAAGTATGTTGGGTCACGTATTACTTAAAACAAAAGGTCAACCTTTAATTTTTAGATATAATTTAGTTGAAATGGGATTTTTTTTAGAAGGACCTATTGCAACTGGTGTGACCATATGTTTATTGCGGCTCTATTCACAGTAGCAAGGACTTGGAACCAACCCAAATGTCCATCAATGATAGACTGGATTAAGAAAATGTGGCACATATACACCATGGAATACTATGCAGCCATAAAAAAGGATGAGTTCATGTCCTTTGTAGGGACATGGATGAAGCTAGAAACCATCATTCTCAGCAAACTATCACAAGAACAGAAAACCAAACACCGCATGTTCTCACTCATAGGTGGGAATTGAACAATGAGAACACTTGGACTCTGGAAGGGGAACATCACACACCGGTGTCTGTCGTGGCGTTGGGGGAGAGGGGAGGGATAGCATTAGGAGATATACCTAATGTAAATGACGAGTTAATGGGTGCAGCACACCAACATGGCACAAGTATACATATATAACAAACCTGCACGCTGTGCACATGTACCCTAGAACTTAAAGTATAATAAAAAAAAATACATTCAATAACTGGTGTGACTTGATTTCTCTCTTCTGTTAGCCCCAGGACTTCAATGTCTCCATAACCTTCAGTTCAACAAAGGTCTACTAACTTACTTATTGTCTAGTAGCATGCTGGGGATCCATAAATGAAAAAAGATGGCAAGATGAAAAATTTTTTCTTTTTTTTCCTGAGACAAAGTCTGTCAGTGTCACCCAGGCTGGAGCACAGTGGTGCACTCATAGCTCACTGTAAGCCTCGATCTCCTGGACTCAAGGGATCTTCCCACCTCAGCCTCCAGAGTAGCTAGGACTCCAGGCATGCAACCTTGCCCAGCTAATTTTTTAATTTTTTGGAAGAAAGACGGTGTCTTGCTATGTTGCACAGGCTGGTCTCAAGCTCCTGGACTCAGGCAATCCTCCTCTCACCTTTGCCTCTCACATGACACACTGCACACAGCAAAACATAGCATTTCTACCCTCAGTTCTTTAAAAGGAGGCACAAATAGGTGATCAGTTATAAAAGCAGTGATAACAGAAGTTTATAGACAACCTATGAGTTCAGATGGGGAAACAGTACACAAAAATTACAGAAAAACAAATTTGAGTCCTCAAGGATAAATATGCGTCTGTCTGGTCTACTGGGACACTGGGTTGGGCAGGGCATTTCCACAAAAGCACCACAGAAGCAAAGGCATAGAGCTGTGGCATATCATGGTATGCTCAGAGATAAACCACTAGTATGTGGCTAGAGAGATGGGGTCTTTTGGGGGAAGAGGGATGAGGTACCTGCACAGAAATGGGCCACATGTCTTCCTCTTAGGGATTAAAACAGCCCTAAAGTAAGTTTTGGAAACAACAAGAGTCAGGAACCCTGGTCTAAAAGTGAGTGGCGGAATGAGAAAAGCTGGTGCTGACAGCAAGTATGCAGACTTTCCAGGATTCCATGTACAAACTCTGATGTTTCAATTAGGTAATGACAGAAAGGAGGGAAAACAGAAGCAATGGCTCAAAGTCGGTTATATGGGTCTGTCTGTTTTAGAGATAAATCCTTGAGGGTAGTAACTGTGCTATTATGATCAGTTCACCTCTTTCTGGACACAGGGTAAGATGGCTCCTCTCTTCCTCACCCTCAAACTGGATATGGCCCTCAGACTTGTACCAGCCAATGAAGTGTGAAAAGCAAGGTGTATCACTTCTGCATGAACAACAGCCAGGGCACGATTCGTCGCATGCCGTGCTCTAACATGGCACAGTGGCTCTCCGGATGGAGTTGGTTCCATCGGGGCTGGGCGCAAAGTGAGGAAACGTGGAGCAGAGGCCTCTTTTAGCCCACACTAGTCCTGGAGTGTAAGAAAGAAATAGACCTGCATTTAAGTCTTGGAGATAATTTTTTAAATTTTATTAATGGACTTCTACATTATGACTAATAAACCATGTACAATTTCAGGCAGAACACTTTTCTAAAACTTAGAGATGAGGGACTCAGGCATCCTACTAAAGAAAGCTCAGTTACTTATTGGGTAATAAATAATTTGTCTTTGCCCAAAGAGAGGTCTGACCTTTGCCGTTGGCGTCTGGGAGATAATCTATGTTGTAGTCAACTGCAGTGTCTTTGTTTAGGGTAGAGTGGGCCACATGTGATGATCTCAGGGTATAGCTGGCCACTCCAGAAAGACCAATTATGTGATTTAGTGTGGGGGCCTTGGGTCATGGGGTATCAGTCAACCTGGAGACTGAAATTAACCATGTGGGAAACTGATCAATCAGTAATGCTTATGTGATGAAGTCTCAATAAAAACTACGGCAGGGCCGGGCGTGGTGGCTCACGCCTGTAATCGCAGCACTTTGGGAGGCCAAGGCAGACGGACCACAAGATCAGGAGTTTGAGACCAGTCTGACCAACATGGTGAAACCCCGTCTCTACTAAAAATACAAAAATTAGCCGGGCGTGGTGGCAGGTGCCCGTAATGCCAGCTACTCAGGAGGCTGAGGCAGGAGAATCACTTGAACCTGGGAGGTGGAGGTTGCAGTGAGCTGATATTGCACCACTGCACTTCCAGCCTGGGAGACAGAGCAAGACTCTATCTCAAAAACAAACAAACAAACAAACAAAACTACGGCAAAACCCCATCTCTACAAAAAATGCAAAAATTAACCAGGCGTGGTGGCTGACGCCTGTAGTCCCAGCTACTTGGGAGGCTGAGGCTGTAGGATCACTTAAGCCCAGGAGGCAGAGGTTGCAGTGAGCCGATATAGCAACACTGCACTCTAGCCTGAGAGACAGAGGGAAACCCTGTCTCAAAAAAACCAAACAGAAAAAAATAGCTGGGCATGGTGGCTCATGCCCATAGTTCCAAAACTTTGGAAGGTTGAGGCGTGTGGATCACCAGAGGTCAGGAGTTTGAGATCAGCCTAATATGGTTAAACCCTGTATCTACTAAAAATACAAAAATTAGCCGGGAGTGGTGGTGGCCGCCTGTAGTCCCAGCTACTCGGGAGGGTGAGACAGGAGAACTGCTTGAACCCAGGAGGCAAAGGTTACAGTGAGCCCAGTCGCGCTACTACACTCCAACTTGGGCAACAAAGCAAGACTCTCAAAAAATAAACAAACAAACAAAGAACCTGTGGGTACTACAGCTTGGGTAAGCCTCCCTATCATGTGCACACTATCACCTACCAATGCTTAATGTTGGTAGAGTAACACATTCTGACCTCCAGGAAAAGGACATGGAAGTGTTGCCTTTGAAACTCTTTGGACTCTGCCCTGTGTGTCTCTTTCTTCAGCTAATCTTTATCTGTATCCTTTCCCTATAGTGAAACGTAACTGTGCTTATAATAGCTGTCAATGGGTTTTGTGAGCCTTTCTAGTGAATTATCGAATCTGAGGGTGGTCTAGGAAACCCCAGAACTTGCGGTTGGTGTCAGATGTGGGGGAAATCTTGTGTAGAGACACTGCTCTTCAGCCTTGTCACTGGCTTTCAGATTTACACAAACATTGTCTTAGTATTGTTTTTCTTTTTTTATCAGTTTAGGACAAATGATCTCATTTGTATATAAAAGTAAGGGGTTTTTATCATTTGGTTTTACAAATTATCTTTATGGAAGTCAGTTCAAAGTCTAGCTTCTCAGCCAGACATTATTTGATTTTATACACTGGCTGGGAAGTTTGCCTTCAGGCTTGTGGTCAGGAAAACACTGTACTCTGCTCCTCTTAGTTTAAACAGCATACGCACGTATGTGTGCACCACCAGTACGGCGGAGCTGGAAAGAGGAAACGAAAGTGTAACGGCTTTGTGTGACTATGTCTGCTCTGGAGGCAACTGTAAGTTTTTGGAGAATGTGACAGCCACTAACCAACATTTGTTATGTGCAGATTACTACTGACATTTTGTATGCTATATGCCTATTCTCCTGAAGAATAATAGATAACTGTACTGAGAGTGAGACATATGTGAATAACTAGGACAGCATTTACCACTCATTGATTTTCGATACCCACTTCTCAAACACGCTCAATACACTTACATACACAAACACACTGCCTAAGGAGACCAAGGCCATTCTGCTTAAATTCTCTAGACTTCCCTCCTCTATCTTTGTCCATCTAGTCCTCCTTTCTTCAATGTACTATAGTGGCTAAATGCATGAACTCTGGAGCCAGACCACTTAGGTCTGAATCTGGGTTCTGTAGCTACCTGTGTGACCCTGGCCAAGCTATTTAGCTTCTTTGTGTCTCCGTTTCCTCATGTATAAAACAGGATTACTAGAATATCTACCTTCTTGGGTTATCACGAGGATTTATATATATGAATGTACACAGTTATGTGTCGCTTAACAATGGGGATATGCTCTAAGAAATGTAAGGTTAGGCTGTTTCATTTTTGTGCAAACATCAGGGTGTACTTACTCAAACCTATATAGTATTAGCCTACTACATACCTAGCCTATATTGTATAGTCTATTGCGCCTGGGCTACAAACTTGCAAAGCATGTTACTGCACTGAACGTTGTAGGCAATTGTAACACCATGGTAAGTACTTCTGTATCTAAACAGACCTAAACATAGAAACTACACTAAAAATATGGTATTACAACCTTATAGGACCACTATCATATTTGTGGTCCATCATTGACCAAAATATCTGTACACATAACAACATTCCAGTTAACAAAGTGCTACATATACAAAGGTAGTCCCATAAAATTATAATGGGTGTCATCTGCCATTCTCTAACCTGAAAAACATAAAGGAAAAAAAGATTATAATGGAGCTGAAAAATTCCTATTTTTTAATGACATAATAGCTGTTGTAACATCATAGTGCAACATATTACTCATGCACTTTTGGTGATGCTGATGTAAACAAACCTAATGCAAAACATGTTGAGGAATCCCTAGCTTACCCATGGGGTGACCCTCCCAAAGGTAGCTCAGACTTTAAGGTTGGGTGCGGTGGCTCATGCCTATAATCTCAGCACTTTGGGAGGCCAAGGCAGTGGATCACTTGAGGCCAGGAGTTTGAGACCAGCCTAGCCAACATGGTGAAACCCTGTCTCTACCAAAAATACAAAAATTAGCTGGGCGAGGTG